TACTGATTTCAAGTTATTGAAACAGAAGTCGGTTATATTTTCAAAATGTTTGTTCGTTAGAGTTCGGACAGTACCTGAGCGAAAGAATGAATTATTCGAATCGTGGAGAGGAAAGGGCAGAATCACAAGATAATGAAGTTTTATCTCGTAATTGTCCTGCGGCATGAACATGACATCATTTAAATACCTGTCTGCAAAATATGTTTTGTAACTCTCGATTGAATATAGGTAAATTGTCGTAGAAAGACGACAAATAAAGTTTTAAACTGTGTAACTTTCGAAAAATCAGTGATTTCATAGAATATGAGATTTGCACCATTCTTTCAAGCGTCCCTTATTCTTACGTATACATCGTCAATTATTCTATCGCAGGAGAAAGTTTAAACAAAAAGATTGGAGCCATTTTTGAGAAAATTTTCAAAATGTGGCTGAGCCTTCATGTACAGAAACCCTAAAAATTAAAATAACCGTTTCGAACTCTGACAGCCTCGAGTACCTTTAAATCAGTCAAGGAATATCAATTTTGAAGAAAATCAGCTGAACAGTTTAGGCGCTAACGTTCACCACAGACGGACATACGGACGAAGAGACAGACAGATTGACGGACAAACTGATGATCAGACTGACATTTTGCCGTCAATAGATTTTTCGGTATCAATGACCCCAAAACATTTCTGATTACATAATGTGTTAGAGGAAGTAATTTAGTACATATAGGAAAAATATTTATCTATTATTTCAATAGAAGGGGTCGGCAGTAAGTTAAGTTTTTTTTTCAGTTTCTCCGACGCATGATAATACTTTTTTTACGAAGTAAGGCGAGAAAGTGAATATGGTGCTACTGCAAACCGCGGTTATGTAGAATTAATTTAGGCGAAGGGGGTATATGAAGATGTCTTTTATGGTGTTGTTTATTTGTTTGGTTTATTTATTTGTTTGGATTTATTTATTTATTGTTGTTTTATTTTATTTTATTTGTTGTGTATTTAATTTATTTATTTGTATTTATTGTATTTTATTTTAATTTATTTATTTATTTGTTTGTATTTATTTATTTATTTATTTATTTATTTATTTTATTTATTTTGGTGAGAAGTAAGTCGAACATCATCAGTTGGCTGGACTCAAATGTGTTTTCTTTAACGTTAATTATAGAGGAGGAAGGCAGAAGCTACACCATCGACTTAAAAATGCGCAATCAAAGAGAATCAAACTTTCGACACTTACATGAAATTGACGATTTTTGTTCTCTAAGCTAACTTAACCTAAAACATTGCCAAGTTCTTGACTGACCTCCACGCGTATTATTCCGCGTAAGCTGTAGCTATTTGTCAAAAAAAAAAGAAAAAAAGCATGCCGGCCGCTCTGCGCCCAATGGGAGCAGCCACGTGCGCGCCCCGAATTGCCGCCTCATGGAGCGCGCGAGCGAGCGGCGGCGGCGACGGGCGGCCGCGAGTCCCGCGGCGCGGAACAACAAATAGACTTCCGCGTTGTAAAGTCCACGCGTCTCCGCGCCGCCCCGCCAGAAAGAAGCGCCACTTTGAGCGCCGCGCCGCCCGACTGACCGCCCGCCGGGGCAGGGAGGAGGGGGCCGGGGGCCAGGGGGCGGGCGGCGGGGCGGGGGCGGGATGCGAAGGGGACTGGGGGCCGGGAGCGGGGAGCGGGGTCGGGGGCGGGGCGGGCGTCAGCGAAAAAACGCCCAGGACGGGGAGGACAGGAGATAAAGCGGAGAGGCCGTCCAGGAAGGCCGGTGGAACCGAAGCGGGGCTGCCAGGCCAAGGAGGTCCTGGTCGTCATGGGCGGCGTATAGCGGTTACTGGTGCTCGTAGATTTCCCGTCCGTCAGCTATGACGGTTCCGGCTGATATGGCTCAATGCTACAATTGTTGCCATTACTGCGTCTCCGAGAAGAAGGTTCTAGGGTTTGAGAAACCCCGGTGGATGATTTTCGACACTAGCCAGACAATCAGGTCGGTTTCTGCCACTTCCAGAGAACTCCAGCAGCCAGTTCATCCGAGTGAATGTTTTGACTGACCAATAACTGGCAAATGACGGAGCAAAATCTTAACAAACCGGGAACGATCCGCGCGCGATCATTCCTTCCTCACTCGTGTCCCCTCCTCGCCACTCTTTTATACACAAACATACACTTTCGTGCACCACGCTAGTATACATGTCGAGAAACCAGTCGAGGACTTGGAGCTTGGCCTGAGGCGGTGCTCCGCTGATAATTTCCAGGAGGGGAACATCCCCGCAACATAAGTGTAAGTGTAAACGAAATGTGTATTTATGTTAATAAATTCAAGCACGTGTAGGGATTTTAAATAACCTTAGCATTTAATCATAACAAAAAAGCAAGAATGGTTTTACAGGCTTTTAAGATTCTGAATTGACCAAAAGCGACAGACGTAAGGAATCGCGGCGAGAGGAAGTCTCCTTCTCTCTTTCATCTTCTTTCCAAGCCAAGCACCACGCAACGTCCTATGGCTGGTGGCAGAGAGCGTACGATCAAGTTAAGGAAAATTGTTTCAATTTTAAGACTGGCGATGGTTATACTGTAAAATAAAACTGGCACGATCTTGGTCGTATCATAAACTTTAAAGAAATAAGTATGATATCTTGAGAGTTTTTGAAATGAGTTTTCTGTGACGAGACGGTATGATGAAATCGTAGATATAAATCAATCTTCTGACGAATGTTGTTCAGTTCAGCGATATTCCTTTCAAATTCCATTGGCGGGATTCTAAATGATCAAGTGAGAACTTTTTAAATACCATTTTGCATACACAAACCCATGTATACCCATACCCACGTATGTGTACATGTAACCCATCCAAAATATTTCTAATAATGTACGCACGTGGTGAAATTTTTATAATAGTTTCAGGAAACCAAATATTTAATAGTATGAATAATATATATGAACCTTTGGTTTCGAGTCGGTCTAATCCCTGTCTGAGTTTAGCTCAGAGATAGCTTCGCCCCTGTCATTCCAGCGATTCCGATCAGGAGGGTCTTGGGTTCGTCTCAGTCTTGAAGATGGCGTGTTTTCAACCCAACAATTATAGAGGCTGGCTGCTCTGAACGGTAGGTTTCCATGATTACTCCGATGTATTCCAGGTAAATGATGGAGCTGTACTCAAAACGAGCCACAGACCACACGCGTATCTTTCATTCCTCTTTCTTTTCATACCCTCACCCTTTACTTATACACACAAACATGTACTACACTAACCCATCAGTCAGCTTAGACCTAGTTTCGGCTAGGCCGCCCGCCCGCTAGGGCGATACCTGGGGAAGAACCCCCCCCTCCCGCAAGCTGATGTATAGATCGGCACACGGTCACATCATTCAAAGAAGAAACACCATCATCTACTGGGATAAAACATTCGCTATACTATTCCCCGATTTAAACACATTGACACTTGAAGGTCACTAACTGAATGGAGAGGGGCGCACTCATCCAATCGGGATCTTCGACAGGATTTAAATGATTGGATGACAATGTTCCTCTCTCCTTCCAGCTCGTGACCTTGGAGTGTCACTATATTTAAACCGGAATATAAAGGAACTAATGACCAGGGAAATTGATGTGTTCGGAAAAATCAATCAATCAATCAAATTCCCACCAATTTATTGTTTTACATTTTTCACTACATCCGTTGTCTGTGACTAGCTATCACATATTGTTTTGTAACGAAAATAGAAATATCGGTCTATTAACATCTTCACTCATTGTCGAAATAAAATTAAATAATCTTGAAAGGGATTAAATTGGTGGTAAAGAAATGAGATATGATCACATCTGGAATTCTCACGCCACGATCCAAATAATAAATATAATATTATAGAAGTACAGGATTTTATGTTAATAAAGAAGTGACAAGTTTTTCCATCCATTGTTTCAGTGTTTTGTTATAGAATGCCTCATGATCTCGCTTATATTGCCTTCTATTTTAAATGAAAGGTCAATGATTTAAATCAATGTTTATCAAAAATAAACGAAGAAAGGCTAGAAAGTATAATAAACTTTAGTTTTTTTGGTGAGCTTTTCGACAGTAATGACAAATATGAAAAAGTAACTATCAGAAATCAGAGGGAAAAGGTAACGTTTTTCCTTTACCACTGGTCTATGTATGAGTATTAACACAAACTACACACCTTATTGATGCAAGATGGGCGCTAAATTTCAATGAGTAGCGACATCATTATTATTTACATTCTTCACCACCAATATTCACAGATCCCCTTTTGGCCAGGTTTTTCCCTTCCGCAACTCGGCAATAATTTTCAGCCGTCTCCCTTTTCTCGGTGGCTCTTCGCCCCATTCACCATTGCCACCCTTCGTTACGACCCCTTTCGCCCCACCACACGGAGAGAGATTCACGAGGAGCGCCCGTCATCCCGGGCGAGAGCCGGTGGGGCCGGCCGCTGCGTTCGCCACCGAGCCGGGCGTGACGCCTCACCTGGCCTGGCGTGCCTTGGCGTTGGCCTAGTGGCTTTTCGGTGGTCGGCGGTGTTGCTTGGTGCTGGTGGCTGGTTTTGCATTTTTTGTGCTGGTGGCGGCGGTTGCGTGCGGTGGCGGTGGCAGGCGGTTTTGCGGCGGGCTCGGTGCGGGTGGCTGGGTTGCGTAGGGGGGTGGGGGGTGGCGCGAGGTGACAGGGCGGTAGGGCGGGCGGTGCGGCCGGCGGCAGCGACGTCTGTAGCGATCGCGACAAAAGAAGGCGACCAACTTGTCCCTTGTAAGGGCCCGCCCTCCCCGCGCCGGCAGCGCGTTCTCTCCTCCGAGTTATGAAGGCTCAACGTGGGGAGGGGGAGCCAAAAGAGGCTGAAGGGAGGAAAAAACGCCTTGCGGCCCTTTTGAAACGCGTCGCCACGTGTCGCGCATCGAAACCCCCCCCCCCTCCCTTCCCCCACCCACGGCGTCTTGGGCGACTCGCGCCCTTCCAAGGGCCCCTCCCGTGCCCTTCTTCGTGGGCTCCTCTTCGGCGAGCGTACTTTTTAATTAGAAGCCTTCTGGGCGGGGATGAGCCCCTCCAGCGCGCGCAAAAGTTGCAATATGACGAGCGCGCAGCCACCGACGTCGTCGTCGTCGTCGTCGTCGTCGTCTGAATTTTCCGCTCAGGTGACTCGTTTAAAAGGATCCTATGACAGCGCACTCGGAAAACGGACTCCGGAGGACAAATATTCCACTTTGCGCTGCCAGACGGAAATAGACCTCACAGATACGAGACATACCCTCCTCTCATTTCACAACACGTGCTGTGTTATCATCGCTATGCAATATAAAAATTGTCCTATCCCTGGAGACCTGTTGGGATGTAGTAATAAGTTACCTCCGAAACGCGCAGTAAAGGTCAGGAGCTTTTTAAGAAGCAGCCCTCTCGGCCAAAGGCCCAACTGGAATTTCATTTCAGCGGAAGCACAGCCCCCGTGCGAAAGAGACTGGGCCAGGCGTCACAAAGTGCCCTCTGCCCAGGCGACATTCCATTTGCAGAATCGGCACATTCACCCTCGGTGCAAGTCGTTGAAGGGTATTAATAAAATTGCTCCTCAGTCATTTTTCCAACTGCAATGATCATTCCGTACGAATTTGAAGAAAAAATGCAACGTCAAGATCACAACTTGAATAAATTAGGAACGATAAATTTACATATTTTTGCTAACTCTTTAATCTGCTAAATGAGTATACTTTTAGATATTAAGTTAGAATAATTTTGATACAATGCAATGACATCATTGTTAATTCCTAAAATTTTATTTTTATGTTGTATAGACATGTAGTAAACAAAATGGATGGCTCCCGCAGTCTGGTTCAGACACTTTTTGATCAGACAAGTGCTGCATCTAAAACTAGTCGTCTTACAACATAGCAAAAACGTTTGGGAACTTTGGGAACGGTTACAAAAAATATAATTATATTGAAACTAACAATGTTATAAGATTTTAGACATCTCTTTTAGCAAAATTCTCAAAATAGATATTTTAGCAAAATTCTCTTCGCCTAATTCATTGAAACAATTTATTGTGCCCTCCTAATAACTTGTAGGATGTTCCGGATTTGATAGTTAAATTCAAAATATTATTGTCCGATTTCAATATAGTGTCTCCTCAAGGTCATGACCTGGAAGGCGAGGAGAACACAATCATCCAATCGGGAGCTTCAATATCAAGAATTTAAGTCGTATCAAAACTCCCAATTCGATGACATGTCCACTTCTCTTTCTAGCTCATGACCTTAAGGAGACACTATATTTAAATCGAAGGAAAAAGAATTAGAAAATTTTCCTGGAGAGGAAAATCTTGAAAACTCTCGTGAACTTACAATGCCTTCATGTACATACCAAAAAATTACAGGAATTTTCCACTAAAATTCTGATTTTTTTTCGCATATTAAACGGTATGAATACGTAAAGCTCAAAACAAATACATGAGCGGCTTGTATTTCGGAAACTAAATGATTGATGGCGTTTTGCGTAATTAATTTGTTTAAAAATTATTGTAATATACGAAATAAAATAATGAGTTAGGAATAGTAGGTTACGCAATTAGTTTATAATGTTAAACTTTATTGCATGAGTACATGTTTTGACAACGAGCGATTTCTAGGAGCGACTATTCAAATTTCTACGAATGCAATAAAACAACTTTATATAAGAGTTGCATTCGCTACTTCTGTATTACAGCATTAAAAAGAGGATCAAGCCTAATTTTTCGAAGCATCTTCCTAGTGACGTCTCGGGTATTTCACCATGCGAGAATACGGTGGTCGGCTGTTCAGTTTACCTCAACCTCCCTCCGATACAGCCGCTGCGAATTGGATGAACGTATGACGCAGTCATTCGTGCTATAACTTCTAAAACGTCATCATTTGTGCCGTCAAATGTGCGATTATGAACTATTTCTCACAACAGAAAATTTGATTCATTCATCATTCGTTTATAATGCTGGAATACAAAACATATAAATTCATTCGGATACGGTTTTAACTGAACCTAGGAGAAGGCAGTTAAGGAACGAATACGTCTTGAGGGAAATTTACTGCATTTTCAGGATTTTTTTTAAAAAATATATGTTACTAAGAAGCTCACTACCAAAGTTCCCAATGTGAAAGGAAAGGAGAGGAGAGGAGAGGGCGGGGAAGGGGGAACAAATATTTCGTAAAAGAATCCGCATACGCATTCTTTCCGAGAAGGGAAAGTGGCCGCGGTGGGGGATGTCGGGGGCGGAGCGCTCGCAGTACAGGAAACGGGTGCAAGTGCTCGCGGTGGCGAAAAGCACTCGAGCAGGAGCAACCTGTGCCGAAAAACGCTCGAGCAGAAGCAACTGGTGGGGATAAGCGCTCGAGCAGAAGCAACCGGGAGCGAAAAACGCTCGAGCAGGAGCAACCGGTGCCGAAAAACGCTCGAGCAGAAGCAACGGTGGCGATAAGCGCTCGAGCAGTGGGAGGAGAGGCGCAGGACTTGAAGGGGTAGTCGGGTCTGGGGTTGGGGGAGTTGCGTGGACGGGCGTTGGCTAGAGCCTGCTGTCGGCGTGAGGAGGAGAGCAGAGCAACCGGAGCGAAAAACGCTCGTAGCATGAGCAACCGTGGCGATAAGGCGCTCGGCAGTCAGAAGCAACCGGGAGCGAAAACGTCGGTGCAGTAAGCACTGTGGGCGAAAAGGCGCTCGAGCAGAGCCAACCGGGAGCGAAAAAACGCTCGTGCATGAAGCACCGGGAGCGAAAAAACCGCTTCTCGTGCAGAAGCAAATCTGTGGCTGAAAAGCGCTCGACAGGAGCAATCGGGAGCGGGAAAAGCGCTTCGAGGAGCAAAGCAACCGGGAGCGAAAGCGCTCGAGCAGAGAGCAACACGGAGCGAAATAGCGCTCGAGCAGAAGCAACCGGTGGCGATAAGCGCTCGACAGAGAAGCAAACCGGGGGCGAAAACGCCCGAAGCAGGAGGCAACCGGTGTCGAAAAACGCTCGAAGCAGGGCTAACCGCTGTTTCGAAAGCGCTCGAGCAGGAAGCTAACGCGGGGCAAAACACACTCGAGCAGTAAGCCACCGGTGGCAAAAAACGGCTCGTGCAGAAGCAACCGTTGGCATAAATAAGGCTCGAGCGGAGCAACACCGTGGAGCGAAAAACGCTCGAGCAGAGAGCAACCGGTGGCGAAAAGCGCTTCGAGCAGGAAGCAACGGGGCGACTAAGCGCTCGAGCAGAAGCAACAGGCGGAGGAAAAACGCTCGAGACAGGAGCGCAACCGGTGCCGGAAAAAGCTTCGTCGAGCAGGAGCAACCGGTGCCGAAAAAACGCTCGAGCAGAAACACCCGGTGTCGATATAGCGCTCCGAAGCAGAAGCACGGAGAGCGAAAACACCTTGAGCAGTAAGCAACCGGGTGGCGAAATAGCGCTCGAGCCAGGACAACCGGGAGCGAAAACGCTCGAGCAGGAGCAACCCGGGAGCACGAAACGCTTCTGTAGCAGGAGCAACCGGAGCCGATAAAACGCCGAGCCAGAAACAACCGGTCCTGAACAACGGGATCGAAACACTGACCGTAACGCTGCGAGCAGGAAGCAACAGGGAGCAAAACGCTCGGAGCAGGAGCAACCAGGATGGCCTGAAAAACGCTCGAGCAGGAGCAACCGGTGCCGACAAAAACGCTCGAGCAGGAGCAACGGTGCCGAAAAACGCTCGCTGGGCAGAAACAACCTGTTTGCAAATAAGCGTCGAGCAGAGCACCGGGAGGCGAAAAAAGCTCGTGCAAGAGCAAATGCTGTGGCGAAAGCGCCTGGGGAAAAAGCAACCGGCGAGCTAAAAACGCTCGAGCAGTAGCAACGGTGCGAAAAGCGGAGCGAACAGGTGCGAAAAGCTCACGAAGCAACCGGGAGCGGAAAACGCTCGGCAGAGCACCGGGGCGAACGCGCGAAGTGACAAACCGTGCCGTACGGACAGAAGCAAACCTGTGCCGAATAAGCGCTCGAGCTAGGAAGCTCGGGAGGCGAAAAGCGCTCGAGCAGGAGCAACCGGAGAGCGAAAGCGCTCGAGCAGAAGAAGCAACCGGGAGCGAAGCGCGGAGCAGCAGAAGGGACAAGCCTCCGAGCAGGAGCAACGGGTGCGAAAAAACGCTCGAAGCAGGAGCAACCGTGGCGAAAGGCAGCAGGCTTCGGTGCGAAAACGTGACAGACAACGGTCACGCCGAGCATGAGCAAAGAAAAACACTCGGGCAGAAGCAACCGGTGGCAAAAAACGCTCGTGCGAGAAGCAACGTTGGCGAAAAAGGCTCGAGCAGGTAGCAACCGGGAGCGAAAAACGCTCGAGCAGAAGCAACCGGGTGCGAAAAGCGCCTTGAGCATAAGCACCGGTGAGCGGAAACGCTCTGAGCAGGAGCAAGGGGCAAAGTCGACAGGGAAACGGAGGCGAAAAACGGCTCGTGCAGGACACGGAGCAAACGCTGTGCAGAAGCAACCTGTGCGATGAAAACGCTTGAGGGCAGGGGCAATCGGGAGCGGAAAAGCGCTCGAGCAGAAACAACCGGTCAGTCGAAGAAACGCTCGAGGCAGGAGGCACCGCGAGCGAAAAACAGCTCGACAGTGCGATTAGAGCAACCGGTGCGGAAAAGCGCTCGAGCGTGACAACCGGGAGCGAAAAAACACTTCGAGCATGAGCAAACGCGGGCAACCCGGCAGGAACAGGGTCGAAACGCTCGAGCAGAGCAACAGGTGAAAGCGCACCCGAACGCAACCGTCGAAAAACGCTCGAGCAGAAACAACCGGTTGAAACGTCACAGATCAAGGGGCGACCGTCGAGCAGAGCAATGTCGAAAAGCGTCGATGAGGAACCCGAACCCTAGCAGACAGGAGCAACGGCAATCTGAGCAGGAGCAACGGTGCGAAGGTGAGCACGAATAACGCTCGAGCAAGCCACGGGACGAAAGCTCGGCGAGCACGGGAAAACGCTCAAGCAGGCCGGTGGCCGAAAACGGCTGTGACAGGACACCGTGCCGAAGCTGAGGGAAGTGCAAAACGCGACAGAGCCTGGTAAAACTGGCAGTTAACAAGGTCAGCTCGAGCAGAAGCAAGCCGGCGAGCGAAAACGTCTGGCAGAAGCAATCTGTGGCGAAAAGCGCC